GAGCTGTTCACGTCCTCGGACTCGGAATTATGCTTTTCTATGGCAACACTATCAATGCCTAAATAGAGCCTGCGGTGGTCAGGTGGTACAGCGGTCATGTGGTACAAGTCGTAGCTCTCAGAAAACGTCTCGGGTTATGTATGTAACTCTAGTTCCTTGAGGGAACGAGACGCTGCATTGGAAATGCTAGGGGAACGCCCTTCGGCGTGACGGGCTCTGAACCTCGTGTGTAATCAGACCAATAGATGTGCGAGACGTCACGGGCGACTGAGGGTCTGTTTAGTTGCCGGCAGACCTCTCTTAGGGGTACCATAACAAACAAGCAACTGGTCCGCCCTCCTCCACAGGGCAGTTCTGTGGACGTATGCATCCAGTGCACGCACCGGACACATACAGTTTAGCCTCTTCTGGTCTGGATCCCCAAAGGGATGAGGACTGAAGGCCTGGAGTACGACAGGCCGCGGTGTAGAGGACGGGACCTTAGGGACATATCCCTATTGCGGGAACAGAAACGCTTTGGCCAGACCAGGCGCAAAGTCTAGATAAGATGAGGCCACTGAAAGGGCCTGCAGATCCCCAACTCTCTTGAGGGAAGATATCGCCAGAAGGAAGGTAGTTTTTATGGTAAGTAAGCGATCAGATATCTCCTCAACAGGCTCGAAGGGAGGCCTACAGAGAGCCTCTAGCACCACAGCCAGGTTCCACGTAGGGACACGAGATAGTACCGGAGGCCTCAGCCTCAGCGCACCGCGGAGGAAACGTGTAACTAGGGGTTGTCTGCCCACTGACTGGCCACCAAGAGGGGCGTGGTAGGCCGCAATAGCTGCCACGTAGACCTTCAGGTTGGAGTGGGTCAACCCTGCGGAGAAACGGGCCTGCAAGAACTCCAGCACTGTACCAACCGGGCAGTTAACTGGGTCTAGCTGGCGGTCTCCGCACCAAGAAGTGAAAAGGTTCCACTTCAAGACATAAAGTTTTCTCGTGGAGGGAGCTCTGGATTCGAGGATGGTCTCAACAACCTCGGTTGAGAGAACGGAAGCTACGAGTTGTACCCCCTCAGGGGCCACACCCACAACTTCCACAGCTCCGGTGGAACATCCAGTGGAGCTGGATGACTTAGAGAGAACCATAGGGGACAGTGCGATGTCATGCGAGTCGCAAACAAATCCACCTGGGCCTGGCCAAAGACTCTCCATATCTGCTTCACCACCATGGGGTGAAGCATCCATTCCCCGGGCCTCGGCCCCTGCCTCGACAGGATATCTGCTCCCAAATTGAGATGCCCAGGGATGTAAACTGCTCTCAGCGAGAGAAATTTGCCCTGGGATCACACAACGATCTGGTACACTAGTTTGTACAAACGGCGTGAGCGCAGACCTCCCTGGTGGTTGATGTAAGAGACTACCGCTGTGTTGTCGGTGCGCACCAACACATGGTGACCTCTCAGGTCTGGGAGGAAGTATCTTAGTGCATGCAGCACGGCCAGCATCTCCAGGCAGTTGATGTGCCACGTGAGATGGCGACCACTCCACAGACCACGGGCAGGGTGGCCACTCATGACCGCTCCCCAACCGGTGAGG